GGCTCATCCTTTCTTCAAGGACACCCAAACATGTTCCTTCCACCCTCATTTGTGGGATCTCAAGTAGGTCATATCACATGCATTTTTGTGGTATAACAATTATTATATTATATAATGATTAATTACAATTGTAACTTGCTTGGATCAGCCAAAATTTGCTCTATAGAACTATGGAAGTGTGGGCTAGAAAATTCACTCCCATAGATTTCCATTGCCAAAATACAGAAATCTCAATCAACATTGAAAGATTTGGAGAAGAAAAGGCATAATTTTTATTTTCCCAAGTAGGATCACTACCGATATTCCTTACTATGAATAGGATTATTCGTTTTATAATTAATGTACATGTAAGAAATACCGAATTTTGTCGCCCTTGACTTCCTAGACATATTTAGTCCTTATTAAATAATATAATGTATAATATTTATATTTTTTAAACCTATATAATATTGTACAATTCTTCATATCAATTGTTGGTTAAAACCCTAAAAAATATGAAGGAAAGGGATGGATTTTAAAACCCACTTATTAAATCGTACATTTTACAGTTTTTGGTAAATGGAATTATTGGGGTTTTGAGATAATAATTAAAAAAATATCAAAATGAGCCTTATATTCATAAATTTGAGGTTATATTTATTAGAAGAGTCCATGCATTTTATTGCTAATAATCACCACAATATATGCTAGTTTAATTCAGTGAAACGAAAAACATAAAAAGGTTAAATTTTTTATTTTTAAAGATATTAATATGATTTTTATAATATAAAATGCAAGCAAGAAAAAGGTGACAAAACTATCAAATATATGATTTATTTTTCTTTAATTATTTCATAAACTATGTGGTATTCATTCATTTCTGCCCCTATTTATTTAAGCTATGGCTATAAAAATCAAGGGAACTAACAAGAAAGGTCCCAAATTTTACTCAATATTGCACTTTATTTCAAAAACTTTATAAGGAACGTTTATGTCTCCAACTCTTACTTCATCCTTGATCCTAGGGACAAATGAAGCCATTACATATGAACATAATGCGTACACTCAATCTCTTTCGACATAAGATTGGTTAACACTCAACTTCAATAAAATCAATAAGAGAAAAACAAAAAAAGAAATGTACCAAAAAAGACCACATACTCACCCTAATGGCAATTAGTCATTGGTCTACTATTCTTATTAAGGTTGGTACTTTAATAATTTGTTTGGTCCGATATTTTTGTTAAGAAAACAATGTTAAACTTAGCCCTTATTTGAGCCACATTATTTCCATAAAAATGCATATTTGAATAGTATATTAATGAGAAATGTGATTTGAAAAATAAGAAAAAATAAATTAGTTGTATTTAATATATTTTATTTAAAAATGTATAGTTGAAATGGTATCAAATTATTTTTTAAGAATATATTTTTTGGAAAGAATGTTGAAAACAAGGTCTTATATCATAAACGTGTATTTGACGTTTTGAGCATTCAAAGCATGAGTATTAAGCATTTAAATAAAATTCTAAAAATTAAAAAATTTTAAAAACTAAAATATAAAATTCTTAAAAAACTTTAAAATTCTAAAAAAACATTAAATTAAAATTAAATAAATTATAAAAAGTAAAAAAATTCAAAAAATAAAATTCAAAAATGCTAAAAAATAAAATTCTAGAGAATTATGAAAAAATAATTTTTAAAAAAATAAAAAATAAAAAAAATTCAAGCTCTTAATGGTTATTTACATAAAAGAATCTAAAAATATATATACTTAAATTAAAATAGATAAAAATTCTCAATCCATATTATTATTTTTTTATTTTGATTTCTTATATTTTTTTAAAGTTAATTTATTATTATTTTATTTTGTCTTACTTTTGTAGCGGAATAAAATATTTTAAAAAATATATTACTTGATAACATGCTAACGAAAAATTATTCCATTTTACTGAATAATTTAATTCCATGAAATAAAGCCCCCCGTTTGGTGGAGATTAAGATTAGATTTTTAGTAGATTTTAATAAAAGTTAATGAAGTGTGTGATTGAAAAATTATGGATCCCATAAAATATGTGGTTAAAATTAATTGTCAACTTTGACTTAAATTAAAATTTAGATTTTAATACGTACCAAACAGGGGGAAATTTCATCAAATAATCTCTCAAAAATTTAAACCAAATGTATTTTCTAGTTTTGTGTCATAAGAAATTGTTTTTCAGAATGAACAAACAAACACCTTTTTAGCGGTCCTAAAATAGACCATTAAAATATAAAATTGAAAATGAAGTCAAAACTAAAACACATACTAACTGGATCCTAAATTTTTAATATGGTATAAGAGCTCACTAAACTCAAATGAGCATTTTGATTTATCTAAAACTTAAACGAACAATCAAATTTCAAGATTAATATTCACCATCTTTTGAGAACATGTTAAAAGTATAATTCAAAATAGTGAACCTTTAAGTTAATGAACTACTCCTCCTAACACGATGAACATTTTGAGATGAACAGACTCAATAGTTCTCCCTCCTTCCATGCACACAATTTGTCACAAACATTTTCTCCACCTCTAACAAGAGCTCACTCCGTCTTTCCTATTTCTATTCATTATATGTCAATGTTTATAACAACCTAGCATGGATTATGACTTTGTCATACCGTATGCTTTTTTTAATCCAAATTGCATTTAGACAAGGATTGTGGGTGTGCGTACATTCAACCATCAAAGGTTGCTAATGGTGGTTGTAGCTGGTCTTGATGGCAATTGTAGCGATGGTTGGAGGTAGGATGATGGAGTTTAAGAGTGCAAGTGGTTGTGAGGGAGATTTTTCCAAAATTTCGACTTTTTACCTTATCCCCTTGCTCTCCTCTCCTTTTCAATGTTACCCTTTTTTGTTCCTTATTTTACTAAAGTTGGAACTTAGAAATCTACATGCAAAACGCAAGAGTTGGTTCTTATTTATGTACCCAGCGATGAAAAAAGGGAATATCGCAGCGACGGTCCCCAACTTTTCTTTTGTATTACATTTTCGTCACACACCATTGTTTACCAAAATGTGTAGTTGGGTTTCTTTCTCCCGCCACCCCCTAAAAATTATAAGGAATGTGGTAGACAGGTAGTAGAGGTTTCTAAGTTTCATGCGTGTTGCATTTTGGTTCCTCTCCCACATCCCAAACAACTTCCAATCCCCAACCCACCAAGGCCTACTCCAAGGCTATCTACTCATGCTAATCATGTTCGGGAGTTGTTTATAAACTGTTTAAGTTATAAACAAATAGAAATAAGTGGTAAAAAAATAGATAGTACATGCGACTTCTACAAAAATTTGTGAATAAAAAGTTGTTTGACGTATTATAGACATAACCAAACAAGGGCATTGACCATCGCTCCCTAAACTCTACAAGCTTTCACAATTCCCCCGATATTTGCAAGGCTTGTATTCTACCAAAAGATTCCGAAGCTCCATAAAGATGAGCTACAAAAATGAAGAAGAATATATGAAAGGTCATCCTTCTAAACCCACAACAAAGACGCTACAAAACCTACTTACTACAGTTCTATCGTAGCATCACTAAGGTTGATCCACTCGCCACAACCCTAACTTCTTGTATTCTCCACCTTTAGAGTTCACCAATGATTGCAACAAAGTAGGATATTTAGGAATCCTTTTGAATTTTTTGTGTTGAAATGGATTTTGTTTAGGGAAAAAAACTATTATTGAGCTTATTTGATTTCTATTTTTCTCAAAATACATTTTTTTTCTTCTTTTCAATCACTCTTTCTTCAATAAAATAATATTACATGTAAATTCAAAAATTTTCTTTATTTTTTAACCACACATTTTTTATAAATTCTACTATTCCAAAATACATTTTTCCAATTTAATGGGGCTCAAACAAGTCTATACTTGACACAATCTTATTACGCCTATGTCTGATCCCTATTTCTTCAAAACTCATTTTTAAATAGATTGATGGACAAGAAATTTAATTTAAATGACAGAACTCATAAAATCTTTATCCATCAATGAATTAATATGGCACATCATCTTCAGTATTCATTTAAACCTCTCTTTCTTTCCCATATATAAATATATAAGTAAAAGTAAATAGTAAGTTTACATTATTTTTAATTTTGCTTAATCCTTGTTTGAGCCCCATTTTTTTTTAAATGTATTTTTAAATAGTGTTTGGACTTCATTTCAACCAAACATTTTCAATAAAATAATATTACACGCAAATTAAAACTTTCTTTAATTTTTAACCACACATTCTTTTATTAATACACTATTTAAAAATACAATTTTTTTTTTTTACAAAATAGGGCTCGAACAATTTTTTCTTCGCTTACAAGTATTAACAAATTAGTTCATCTTTAAATCACCATGTAAATGTAGCGCTTGCACATACAACTAAGTCGTTATGTTGAAAAAGATAAAACATACATTCAACGTCTTAACACAAAAGCTCCTTGCCTTTGGGATCAAAGATGAAAAAAAATAAAGTTATTTAGGTTTTTTTTTTTTCAAAGAAGTCTAGCTCTGACATTCCAACAAATCATCCACTTAAAAGGACCCTCCGCTCATTTTATCATTTATTTAAGTTCTTGAGATTTTCAATCGCTCTTTTTAATGAGAATGAACAGTAAATGAATGACGGTTCTTAAATGAGGTAGCTAAAGGTCATGACCTAAATGCTCCTTTTTAAAGGTAAAAGTTTAATGTGCAATACCGACTAAAGATCAAGGATCTCCACGTATATTTCCCTTTTTTTAAATCAATCAAAATCATTATGCACCAGTGTCGGCACATATCATCATGGTCATCATCATTGTTCCCTATTCCCATCTCCACAGCTCCTTCTCTCTTCATTTCCATATTTTCTGACTCTCTTCTGAAACGTCGCCCCCACCTTCCAAATCACCATTTCTCTGCATATATACCTATATGTGCAATTACACACAATCCTATATAATGTAAATTCATTATAAAAATTATTATGGGGTTTTATGTTTTTGTTTAATTCTCTCTGAAGTCTTCATATTTGACAACTCGATCGAAGATCAGGTTTTTTATATCATAATCCATGTATATACAATATCTTAGTTTAGGGTTGGAAACTTAGGGGAAAAAAAGTCAAAGGCTCGAGGGTTTTCTGAATTTTGGTTTCTGGGGAATGCTATATTTGAAACAACCAGTTGGGGGTGATGATGGGGTTTAGGAATTTGGGATAATAGTAAAAAAATTTCCGTTTAAATTGAATGCCTGTATGATTGATTCCCGAGCCAGAGGCTCGGGGATCGGAGAACCACAACCAATGGCTGACGTGCCGAGGAATGTGAAGCAGCAATTGCAGGAAGTACAACCGGATTCTCCTCCACCACCGCCGCATGCGGGATTTATGCAGAAATTTAGACTCTATGAAACTCGATCGGTATAATGTTTAAAGTCATTTGTAACTTTTAGGAATTATATTGATTTTAAAATGCAATCTTTGATTCCTGTACTATTTCGGAATGCAAAATGTGGTGTTTCAAGGCTTTTGTAGATCAACGTGAACTACGTGGGTAAATTCGTATAATCACTTTGAATTATTAATTTGTAGAGGCCTGTGTACGTTAATGTTATCTATAGGGTTTGGATGTGGCTGGATTTCAAATTTATTACATGGCAATCAATTGAAGAGCTAACCAAATACTTGATTGATGGAGTTTTCAGATTTTTTTGGGACATACACGAGATTCTGTTTGAGTTGTCACATGAGTCGATTTTAAAATGTCTTTCTGAACTGCAGTGGTGGACGACTGGACGTTAGTTTAGTAAATATGCTAGACGCACATTTTATATTTCCACGTGCTAGGAATTCACATGTTTGTATTGAAGACGTTTTTCTACATATATCAGCATTAACAGTGCACTAAAATATAATCATTTTCTTGCATTCTCCCTAGCTTTTATCGCTGTCTGTTTGTCGCCTAGCCGTGAAAATAGGTAGTAAAAGAAAAACATCAGAAGGTTAGAAATTAGTATATCATGTGTTACTGGAAAGCACAATGGATTTGTCTTCTTTTTACACTTCCTTATTTACATAGAGATAATGTGCAAATTCAATTTTTTCTCCAACTACTTTCCAATGTATTAGTTTGCTGATTTTGGATTGCAGAAATTCTATATGGTAGGAAGGAACCAAGGCAGAACATATTGGAGAGTTTTAAAACTTGACAGGTTGGAACCTTCCGAACTTAACATTCGTGAAGATTCTACGACATATACAGAGAGGGAGTGCTCTGACCTATTGAGAAGAATACATGAAGGAAACAGGGCTACAGGAGGACTTAAGTTTGTCACTACTTGTTATGGCATCGTTGGTACGTAGATAAAGGAGATCTTACTCTTTTCTACTCGAGGCTGGTAACCCTAATTTTTCCAATCTATTTACTGTCTTTTTTTTCTTTTTTTTTTTTTTGGTTTCAGGGTTCATTAGATTTCTGGGGCCTTATTACATGGTACTCATAACAAAAAGAAGGCAAATTGGTGCAATCTGCGGTCACAATGTTTACGCTATCTCTAAAAGCGAGATAATTCCTCTTCCAAATTCTGCAGTGAGATCTGGCACGGCTAACAATAAGAATGAAAACAGGTTAATGCTTTTCTGTGTTGAACATTTCGTTTTCATATATAATCTTTAAGCACAAAGGAATGCAGTGCGAGTTCTTATGGTCTTTCATTTGAATTTCGTGGACCATTTTTGGTTATGTTTGAATGTATAAATGTTGGTATCATTTGAGATGTGATTGAAGCCTGCGCTACGATAGGTGAGAGAGCGTAATGCTGGAATATACATATCATCTTTCTGTATCAATCTCTCACTTTGGCATTCGATACAATTGGTCGATTTTCAATAGTACTGCCATATATATTATATTTGTCTTATTTCCTGATAATTACCTCCAGCCAAAAGAAAAATCTAAAAACTATAGGGAAACTATGCACTTAGAAGCATGGATACAATACTACATATTAAGTCAATAAATAGGTAGTATGATTTAAGTTGAGATTTCATTGCATTCTTTACCTAATTGCCTCTACATATTAGCTTCGCGAAAAAGTTATATGTTATTGCTGATTTCCATTTCAGGCTATAGGATGAAAAAATTTCATGTTTTTCAAACTTGATTGTAGCTTTAAATTTCGATTTTTGTTGATGAATACTATTCACAAAAGCGCTGTTGATGAACTTGTTTGTTTTGTACCTTGTAAGTTATTATTCTTTTCCAAATGTTTTCTGCACCGATCCCTTTCCCTTGAAATTTGAGCTTGATTGTTGTTACTAACAAGTACTGTACTATTTATATGGTTGCGAAGGTACAAGAAGCTTTTGTGCATGGTTGATCTTACTAGGGATTTCTACTTTAGTTACTCCTACCATGTGATGAGAAGTCTCCAGAAGAACATGTGTGATAATGAGACAGGACAAGTCTTATATGAAACTATGTTCGTCTGGAATGAGTTTCTTACTCGTGAAATGCGAAATATTCTGCAGAATACTAGTTGGACTGTTGCATTGGTTTATGGCTTCTTTAAACAGGTTAGCTTCTGTGACTGTCTTCATGAGTTGCTGTTGGTCCGGTTTCTTTGCCCAAGTTATCTGGTGTATTTGTTTCATAATTCACCAGTTCTGTCATGAATTTCTCTGTTACTCTTTGCTCTCTTCACTCTGATTATTTGTCACACATTTATAATATTGCCAGCTGCATTTGTTGCAAGCATTAACAGCTTGATGTGTTGTTCATTGCTTATGCTTGATCAATCCAGGCTACACTTCCTATATCAGGGCGGGAATTCAAGCTGACTCTAATAGCAAGACGTTCACGGTATTATGCTGGAACAAGGTCAGAAGGCAAATATAAATGTGATAAATATAATCATATTACCTATTACTCATTAAAGTTGCGTACTTTCTCCAAGGCCTACATTTTCCCAAAATTTGCCGCAAACCTCTCTGAGATTTTTAGTAAGTTTTTACGTAGTCTTCTTTTGTCCGAAGAAATGATACATTGAAATAATGATCACTATTGAGATCAACACATCTGAGAATGTTTGGCCTATGTGTGATTCTGGGTAATAGCTTATTAAAGGATCAGTCCATTTATTTATATGACTTCCAAACAAACGTGTCTATGTAGTTTACATGTCAAAGATTACTTTCTCCGAGGCATTATTCAAATGTTCATATACATTGCCTATGGTCCTGTTGGACTATATTTATTTAATTGTCCACATTATTGTTAATGGGAGATTCTGTGTAATTGGTTTTTTAAGATAATCAATCCCCCTTTTTTTTTTTTTTTTTTGATTTCCAAAGAAACCTATTGAATTAGCTATGTCTACTATTACATATTATCCTGGAGTTAGTGTTATTCTATCACTGTACTCATTGTGTTTCCTTATCAATGCCTAATTCAATCATTCTTTTTTGCTCTCCTCCCAAAGCAAACAAACAGTTTCTTTTCCATATTTCTTGTTTTCTGCCCTCTATAGCCCTTACACCCAAATCACCAATTAACCATCACGACGATTAGTAAGCTGCCTGCCACTACCATTGCCTGTCACCTACAAAATCACAAATTCCATCATTGTGATCATTTGCATGCCACCGTGACTATCAGTCCCATCTCTGCCTTTTAAATGATATCGTGAACCAAGACCCTTAAATGACCTCTAAACTGGTTTCAACCTGTTGCCTTCAAAGCTCCAATCCCAGATACACTGGAATCATCACATGATCGCAATCCTTACTTTTTCAAACTTCCATGCCCTGTACTGATCCTCAGTATTACGAACATTACAAGAGGTCAAAAAGCCACTAGCATGATATGAGTTCCAAAATAGCTACCAAGCACTGCTATAAGCCACATGTTGAATCTTTTTATCTTTGCCATTTTGCATTAGAGACGGAGAATTCATGTTGGAAATTGATGGACAAGTACTAAATATGGGTGTAGTGCTGTAGACATGGTCGTATTAGTCTTTGTGTACAGGAGGCTGGTAATGGAGGTTTCCCTTGAAGATTCTTCTCCATTTATTTTTTTCTTCAATTTCTTCCTCTTGGTTGGGGTGGAGTTTGTTTTGCCGGTGATTTTGTTTGACTAGTTGTAATAAGTTTATAGCGGTGATGGTGCTTTATTCTGCTAATGGTGGTGCACTGCTGGTGTAATTTTTGGATTGCTTGCTACATGTTGGGGGTGATGAGAG